CCCAGTATCAAATTTTGGTTACACATTGCCTGTGATTCCTTTTCCATTTCATGGAAATCACCTCGCTCGTCAGGGATAGGACAGCACAGTTCTTGCAGCCACACTGCGGGCTCCTGGCTGCTACGGCACCTACCAGATCCCAAAAATATAGACCAGAGTGTGCATTTGCTCTGTCTCGCTAACAGAGGACACATGCACGGGGTGAAAAATGAACATTCTTTTTTTCATCTCTCTGCTAGAGCAGCGAGCATGTGGAGCAGAGGGGCAGCGGTGGGTGGTTGTCCCCCCCTCCTCCCTCTCCCACCGCAGGGGTGAAGGGAAGCTGGGTGCTGCAACACTTATCGTGTGTAGCAATACGTGTTTAAAAAAAGTCCATATTCCAGATGGAAATCATAGCTCAAAGCAAGCACACGCTGCTCCAGCCCTGAAGGGCCAGGTGCTGCTCCAGCCCGAGCCCCACGCGAGCCCTCCTCCTGTGGGTCTCAGTAGAGAAGGATGATGGCTCTGCTCAATGCGGGGAGGCAGCTGTGCTCCAGGGTCTGCTTTCCTTATGGGGGATGTGGGGTTTGGGGGGTCACTTCAGAACACTGAAAGGACCTTCTTGTGGTAGCACTGTAGAAGAGAAGGCAAGATAAAGCACAGAGCCCAAAGCATCGCACTGGCATGCCATCTGCCAGAAACTCACGGCACGGCTTGGTTTTTCACAACGAGGGCCAGCAGAAAAGCTCAGCCTCATGTCCCACCAAGAGGAGGCTTTGGCAGGTAGCTGCCACCCCTGCAACTCCAGGCTTTGTCAGCGGGCAAAGTCTGGGGGGACGCTTGGTGGTGGTCCATGGGGATATTAGGCAAAGGCAAAGGCTTGGTCAGGAATGGGTCTCCCTTTGGTCCCTCCTGTGCTCTGTGCATGGGAGCTCCCATGTGGGGATGGTGGGAGGCACCACGGGGAGGAGGCTTCTCCCCTCCCAGGGCATGGGCACAGGGAGCAAATCTCCCAAGAAGAAGCCATGAGGGAGTTGAGAGCAGTGGGACGAGGACACACACAACATGTAGCCTGGAGGAGCTCAGGGGACATGAGGGGACATGTATTAACCAGAAGCACAGCCCTGCCCGCAGTGTAAGTGATGTGTCCCAGGTTGAGGCGTGCTGGGAGCTGTGCTGTGGGAGGGGAATGTTCCTGGGCTCCCCCAGCTCCTTTTCTTTTGTTGTGGAAAAAAAAAAAGAAAGTAATCATAGCTTAGCTTGCAGAGATCCCTTCAGATGTTGTGTCCAGGCTGCCCAGGATTTGGTGTGTGCAGTGGCCTCTGCCCTTTACAGAGGGACAATGACAGGTCTCCGGGCTGACCAGAGGATGGATATGATAATTATACAGGGATATTTTTTCCCTGCTCGGCACTGCTGGCCACAGCCTGTTATTGTGCTTCTGCGATGCCAGTGCAGGACGTGGGGCTGACCCACGTGTGCAAGCTTGTGCAAGGACCCTGCACAATTTCCTATCCTGCTCAGAGCCTGTAACACTTCTGCTTTTGTGTGCTCTGCAGCCAGGAGCTGGGAGAACGGGCTGAATTTGGGCCAGGCTGTGATGATGAGCTCTCTCAGCACCACTTCATGGTCACAGGGGGTGGTTGGTGCATCCAGCACAAGGGCATTGGCATCAACATCCCCCAAGAACCAGTCCTGACCTCTCCCAGGCTGCCAGGGACCAGCAACCAAATAAATGGCATCCCGCAGAGCAGGCACAGCATTTCTGAGCCCAGCATCCCCCTCCCCACTGTTTCCATGCTCCTAAAACCTCCGTGGCTGCCTTGCATCAAACCTGCTCCCACGCCTGCCAAAGCGAGGGGGTGGAAGGAAGGATCAGGCCCCCAGTGCAGTTGCTCTTAAAAAAAAAAAAAAAAAAAAAAAGGCATGGAAAAAGTAAGAGAGATCTAGTAGGAGCTGTAAGTGCTCTAGCAAAGAAACCCAGCAAGGTAGCGAGGCCTCTCTCACCATGGAGACAAGCCGGAGAGCGTGCGGAGGCTGTGCGCCTCGGTTAATTTGCTGCGAGTACTTTTTCCAAGCTGTTCAAGGGAAGGTTTCATCCTGCCAGCCTGCCCCTCTCCTCCTGTGCCTTGTGGAATGCCGGCAAGCTCCGACCAGGCGATGCTTTCCCACGGCGAGCGGGGCCGGTCGGGGTGATACGGGCAGCTGGATGGAGCTGGTCATCTTCTGGGAGAGAGCAGCAGGAAAGAGGAGTTTGCTGTAAATATTGCGGGCTGTTTATGAAGCTGGGGGTTAATCACACGCTGGAGAGGAGTTATTATTTTTTTTAATTGGCTAGCAGCAGAGCCAAGCTGCTTCCGTCTTTCCCCCAGCTCCTGGTCCGAGGTGGGGCTTCTTCCCCCCCTGCACAGGCAAGGGGACTGTGGGGGCTGCAGACCCACTCATGGAGTATCCTTCATCTCCTCAGCAGGCAGCCCCAGGCAGAGTGGGTACTTGCAGGGACACTCCTGGCTCTGGCACAGCCAAGCCCATCTCTGCTCTGGTACTGAGCAAAGATTAGGGCCCCACAAGCCCTCTGGCACAGGCTGGGATGCAGGGGTCCCCTCCCACCCTGTGCAGGGCTGTGCTCCCACAAATTGGTGCCTGACCCCCATCTTGGGTGTTCAGCCCAGGAACAGGGAGATTGTTGTAGCTTGGTGGCTCTGTAGAAGAGCAGTCATTGCCCTGCAGGGCCACGTCCAGGAGCTCCAGTGATGCTCCAGCTTGCTGCACTGGCTCTGTTGGGGCTTTTTCCCTCTAGGTGAAACCTCTCGCACTCAGTGAGGCGGGGAAGGGGCTGTGGAGGGAGTAAGAGAATAAAGACCAGCTCATTTCTGGCTCTGATGGAAGGTCTTTTCTTTTTTTTCCCCCCACAGCTCCTGTGTTTCCCCCTGCGAGTCCCAGGCTGGAAAGAGGGGTGTGTGCATTGCCCACAGGCTGCATGAAGGAGTCTGTAGCATCTGGGACGTGGCCAGGAGGCCGCAAGTAGCCGTGCAGATGGACCATGTCCCACACGGGATGCAGCTTCATCCTCATCCTCGCATCCAGGGGAATAAAGGTGCATCCAGCACCCAGTGCTCCGGAGCAAACTGGGGACCTCTAAAACCCCAGTGCAAAACCCTGGCTTGTGGCTTGCTCCTCTTCTCCTCAGTGGGGGGGATTATAAA